TTGAGACCCCTGCCTTAAAATGACCCGGTGTTTCTCTGTATTGTTTCATGCAAACTAAAGAGGCTGCATTTCACCATGCTTGCGGGGTTCACACACAAAACAAACCATGCCTGTGCCGTTTCCAGCCTGGCTTCTTGCTATGTGTGAAGTCAGCCACTGGCTGTCAAAACCTTTAGCCAGAGCCCTTCCTGTATCATATCCATCACCTGCTCACTCATGCATAAGCCAAGGCAACTTCAAGTAAGGGTAAACTGCTGGAGCTTGGATGGAAAACTCAGTCACAGCCTTTATTTTTTATCGTGTTGTAGAATACAAGGCCTTTGCTTGCCTTGATTCTGACAAGAAGGGCCTTTTAACCTTGCTCAACTCTAAATGTGGATTCTTGTTTAAAAAATTGATCAACAGAGAAGCACTAGACTAAAAATAAAGGCTAGAGGAAGCAGTGGGAAGAAATGGGCAGGGCTTCTGCTCAGTTGTATGAGGTAAAGCAAATGAATTGGGTGAAGTGAAAAGCCAGCTGAAGAAACACATTAACCAACCAAAGGAGAGGTAAAGGGCAAGATATATTTTGCAGCATATATTTGATGGCTTTTGTTCATCTTTGCTAGAGCAGTCAGGAATTCTGGTTCATTCCTTGCCAAGGGAACTGTGCTCCTCCCTAGCTTGCTTGGTATAGTTCTAAATACCTATTTAGTGCTGTTTGCAGTTGAATTATGACTGACCACTTACCAATATTCTGTGTTTCAATTTAAATGCCATTTCTGCATGTTGCTTTCTCAGTGACTGCCAGGAAGTCATGTCACACAGTTGCTAAAGCTTTGCATTAAGAAAAACAGGAAATATTAATCACTAGTTAACTCTCATTGAATTGTTTTGTGTCCTTACAAAAATAATATTGGTTTGCTGAAGAGGGAGGGACACAAGGGCAATGTGAGCACAGACCATCAGCAGTTTGCAATTAATTCACTAGTTTAGTTATGCATTGTATAATGAGTAAGACTTTTAATGCTCCTAATTAAATCTTTGCACCCATTAATAATATAGTAAATAGGTTTAATTTGGCAATAATTTAAAGTGCTTTAAAGATATTTTATTTACTTCTTAAAACTCTTGCCAGCAGTTTTGCAAGGATAATTTCTGAAAAATGGTTCCTATAATTTTGAGGACACACAGGCAAACCAGACACAGTTAATGCTTACTAACCTTGTGTGTGTGATTACTTGTATTCATGTTAGCTCTTCCATTTTTTTTTTCTCAAGGATATGCATGACTTTTAATAATCCATAGCAGTGAGTGGTTTCAGCAAAGGATTCTTTGTTTATAAATTGGGTTGTTTGGCTTGATGTGTTTATTCTTCTTTGAGTCTCATGAAGGCTCTGTTGAATGTATAAAGGACATACAAAGTAGCATCTAGTATATTATGTCTTAAGTAGGGCAAACACCATGTACACATTTCTGAAATTGTAAATGCGTATCAGACTTTTCAGTGGAGTTGAAGGGATTTAGTCTGGAAGTATTCATTCTGTGGATCTTTTCAAAATATATTGGAAACCCTGCAGATAAAAATATAGATAATAAAAAATGCAAGAGAGTTCCTAGTCAGTCTCTGGCTATCTGACCATTAATAAAGGAAACGATATTTAAGAGATTAAAACCCATAATGATGTTTCACAAAGGCTGTTCCTACTGCTGCAACTTAGAAACAAGAAAAAAGCAATAGTTTAGCTGTGTTTTGCTTTATTAATTGGTTCATATGCAAAATGAGCAGGTACTGTACAGACAGTAACTTGTAAAGACATAAAAAGTATAGAAATGTCCACTACTGAACACTGGGGTCTTTTCAGGCAACACCTGCATGATAATGACTAGAAACAAAATGAGATGTGGGATTCCCTACATTTTGCCGCACTTATATATGTATATGTTACTGTGCAATATTATATATGTATGTGTGACCACAGTAACTGACAAGCCCTAATAGGTGAAAGGTCATGGGAAGAGTCATTTCTTCTTTAGTTTTCTATGGGTCATTTGGGGTACAATATGAAAGTACAATTCAAGTTGACCTAAAGGGCACTCAAGTATGTCTTCCTTACAATGTACATTAGCATATAAGTGCCTTGAAGCTGATCATGAATGGTGATTCATCACTTCCCTGATAGCAGTCATCTGATGCACTTCATTCCTTTTATCTGCCTAGTGGTTTGGTTTCCCAAATCTCATTAAACAGAAGTAATCACTTTTCTATGTGTAAGCAAACCTCAAGTCAGATGATTAATTTAGCAATATAATCTGAACACCAGCACCACTGCATTTGAAAAAGGAAGTAGCAGGAAGGATGTCTCCCATCTTTGCCTGTTCTTTCTTCCTACCTTCAGATGAATGCATTTGTCTTCTGCTGTGATTCCATTGCAATTTCTTTTGTACTGGTGCAATGTGATGGACTGTGTGTTTTGATTCTGCAGTGTAGAGCTGCTAGTATAAAATATCCCAATAGTTTATTAGCACTGCCATCTGCAAAATGAGTCTGTTAATTAACAAATGTTTACACGCACTTTAATCCTAGATTCTCTTACTTGGTAGTAAATCCCATAGCTCTCTGTGGAATGTACTTCCAAATAATTAATTTCCAGTCCTAGTCATACTTCAATGTATTCATGGGCAGGTCAGTTGTATCATCTAGAGCTTAATTCAAAGTGGTGGTACTAACAGTCAAAGCGCTAAACAGCTTGGTATCAGGTTTCCTGAAGGATTATATTCTCCTATATATACCTGCCTAGATGCTTAAAATCTAAAATCACCACTACTTCCAAGTAGCTACTAAGAAGGAATTTCCTGTTGTGGCATCCTAATTGTAGAATAAACTCCCTAGTGGCTTGCTAGTAGTATTTTGGCACCAGGCAAAGACCGTATTTTCCTGAGGATTTTAGCCTTTCAATTTCTGTTGTTTTAAATCTGTTAATGTACTTTAAGTATTTGCACTGCTGTTAGTTTTCATTTTGGCTTTTATTTTTATTTTGTACTTAAGTTTTATAATTTTATATTTTATCATGTTTCATTTTATGATTTTAATTGTAGTGAACATCTCAGGAAACTTGAGCTGTGCAGTGATATTGAATATATCAGATCACTCTTGGAATACTGTTTATTGTTCTGACCACTTCATCTCAAAAGGGATATTGTGGGGCTGAAAAAAGCAATGTAGGGTCTGGAGCACTTTTCCTATGAAAAGCAAATTCTCAATGAGGAAACATTACAACACGTAGCACTATTTTGCTCGAAAGAAAGTGAATATGAGAGACAGGGTAGAGGTAAATAAAATTATGCATGGTGTGATGAGTGGATTGAGAGTAAATTTTCTCCCTCACTCATGATACTAGAAACTGGGGTCATCCCATGAAGCTGACTGCTGCTCTTCCAAGGAGGCAGGATGTACTAGTTCTGAGGGACTTCAATTTCCCCAGGATCTTTTGGCAGACAAATTCTGCCAAATATGACCCTTCCAATAAATTCCTAATGTGTGTTCCTGATAACTTCCTCCTACTGAAAGTGGAGGAAACTTTCCTCAAGGGAAGGTGATGGGCTGCACCACACTAGAGCCATTCTGGACATCCAAGAGATGGCTTAGAGTCCTGCACTGAGGACTCTAAGATTCAATGGATCCAATGGCCTTCTTGGTCCCTTCCAACTCTACTAGTTTATGATTCTATTCCATGGTATGAGATTCAGGATAGAAGCAAGTGCTGCTTCACACTGCACATACATGTGGTAATGGCTATAAATCAGAGTGTTTTAAAAGTGAATTAAATGAATTTGCAGAAGTTAATGCTATCAAAGGCTACTATTCATGATGGCTTGATTCTACCTCCAGAATTGGAGGTGGTATGCCATTTATTGGGGAACATAAGTGGGAGGATGCCCCTCTTCCCATACCATTTGTGTGGCTTTTCATTATTGTTATTGTTATAATCATCAGCGGCACCACACATTTTTAAAAAGCTAAATTGAAATGAGGCATCTTGTTATCCCTTGTGGGAACACAATGTTGGATATGATAGGCCTTCAGTTTCACCAGCACAGCTCTTTTTATGTCTGTACTCAAGGATGAGATTGCTCTATAAATCATGTATATATGTGCAGAATTCTAATTACATGAAATGCTTGCCTGGAAAATCAAGCATCTCTGCATTTCAGAAATGTGCTCAAAGATGATTAAAATATGTGCCAAAAGCTTCATGGCAACATTTAACTCTCTGGTAAGTGGTTTCCATAGACAATTCAGCTGGATAAATGATGCAGAAGAATAGGCGCTGCAGGGAACGGAGCTGGCCCATGCATTGTGTAATTCAGAGAACACTTAACAGTAAGCTGAGTGTACATATTTTTTTAAAATGGGGCACTGTTTGTTGAATGTCAACATTCAGCTGTACTTCTGTTCATATCTGTTCATGGTGTGTTTAGTGCATTTGGTACCCAGCACCAAAGACTTTGACTAGAAACAGTTTGACAGGAATGACTAAAAAAAGTAAGAAGAAATAGCTTCACCATGAACTCTTATTTGCTTTTTTAGCTGTTTTATGTACAGAACAAGCTTTTTCCAGTCACCTTCTCAGGATAAAATGCAAGTTTCCTTCTTTTAATCTTTTGGTTCATCAGGGAACCTGGATCAGTCATGCCAAAAACTGCATACAAGTATCAATCCAGTACAGGTGGGATTGAGTTCAAACAAATATGAATAAAGTACTTGGGGAGGGGGGAAAATCCTTTTTGGAGTCTTAACTGCAAAAAATGTGACAGCAGCCAACATAAACTTTTAACTGCTATTCAGCAGTTCCAAAACAGGTGGCAGCACCCACAATTTCAGATCATAATCAGCAGAGAAGGTAATTGGCTAATAAAGTTAAATTTACCCTTTAATTTATCCTATTCTAATCATTGTTAGCACAATAATTACCTTTCCCCCACATGGTTGTAGCACAGTGAGACAACATTCCCCATGATCTGCTTTTAGTTCTCCATGTCCGACCTACAGGCCTGTGAAAAGATTAATTACCTGGCAATCTCCACATTTTGCAAATTTTTCATGAACTGGCACTCCTAGAATCACAACATTCTAGAAACACACATCCCTAGAATATTTCCTTAGAATTCTGAGTTTGTAGGACTGCTGGTTTGTAAGATATCTTCAACTTCCCATGGACATTCAATCATGTGATATACAATTTATGTAGAGACACACAGGAATCTCTTAAGAACCAACTTTTTCCTCTCATGAGCCTGCTTGAGTATTATAGACAAGAACTGGAGGCCCTGCTCTCTGTGTTTCATTAGATGACAGTGAGCAGGCATAAGAGGCTAGGCCTTTTCTGAAGGGACACCTAGATGATTACTTTAAGCACCACTCTGTTATTGTTCATCTTTAGAAAGGCTGCTAACCCAGCTTACCTATTTCAGGTTTTTGTTTCTGTCTGTTAAACCTAATTTCGAATCATCTGATAGAAATTTGCTGCTGTTGGATTTTGTAATATTTCTCATAATGATTTAAATGTGTTTTGTTACTCCTTATATCAGCAAGAACAGTAACTTGTGGTGATAGCTCTTTACACTTTTATTGCAGCATTGTTGGTCATTCTGCTGAAAGCTGGGCTGAATTTTGCTTTGGCATTGCAGCTGAATACTAACAGATGTTTGGGTAATCTGGCCAAGATCATGTAAACTTCACTTTGGTCTGGTCTTACATAGTAGCTTGCAATGATTCCTGCTATGATCAAAGGCAGAGATGGAACACTAACCCAGAATAAAATCTGGACAGCAATGGCTTGTGTGGAGCATATACTTGCCGTCTAGCAAAAAAAAAAAAAAATCAGGCCATCATTGCTTTAAGGATGACACCTCCCTGCAGCTATATTTAGGTGGACTTTCTCTGTCATAACCTTGAAAACAATGTTCAAAGGCAAAAATGTATCTCCAAAATGAAATCAGTGGGCTTGTATGATAAGTGGAGTGTTCTCAAATGACACGATTCCCATCTCAACATCTAGGTATCTGTGATTATTTTGGCAGGAAGTGAGAAGTCTGCAGAGTGCTGTCAGTTCTGGACTCTGTCAGACCCTGAAGGGCAGACTCTGGGGATCTAGAAAACTGCAGCAGCAGCGATCAGCAGAAGTGGTGGTGCCCTTGAGTTGCCTCTCTGCAGCAAGTGTGTGCAATTGCAGAAGTGCTGACTGACATGAAATAGAATGAACTAATGAGCTGGCTGCAACAGAGCAGTGGGTGGGGGCGTGAGGCTGCATGGGAAGGCCTCCAAGCAGAACCACAAACATATTCCCGTCATGGGCTCAGGCCGCATTTGCTTAATGTGTTTTGCAACAGTGTT